GATCTTAATAGACCATTGGAATTAATATTCAAATCTAAGACTGTTACTTAAAAATCACTACTCATGTCTAGTATTTGAGAAACTCGATGTAAAAATAAGCTGAACAATAACCAAACAATTCCCAGTGGTTTCAAATCAAAATATTTATCTTCTGTGTTATTTATAAATACATATGTATAGGTTGAATTATGTGAAATTAACAAACTGTTATAATGATTAATATTTCTTTATTTACTGTGAACAATAAGGAACAAAAATACACACACACACAAAAGAAAACTCATGTTTAGATTTTTAAATAGACTTTCAGCTGCAGTAACATCTATAGATGCTGACTGTAATTCTACGGTTGATATCCATTCAGATGAACAAATAGTAAAGGCTTGTACTTTACGATGTCTGTTTCTTCCCAGAGTTACTCTCACTTATCATATTAGCTTTCTTCCTAGCTAGTAACCACTATACTAAGATGGTATTAAGAAGCTATGTGTCAGACAGCACGATGCCTCTTTCGTTACTCAAATAGCGTTAAGAAGCTGTTTGTTAGAAAGAATGATGTCTCTCTCATTACTCATATTGTATTAAAAAGCTGTGTGTTAGAGTGCATGATGTCTCTCTTGTTACTCAGCATTAGGAAGCTGTGTGGTAAAGTGCATGATGTCTCTCTTGTTACTCAGATAGCATTAGGAAGCCTGTGTGGTAAAGTGCATGATGTCTCTCTTGTTACTCAGATAGCATTAAGAAGCTGTGTGGTAAAGTGCATGATTTCTCTCAAATGGCATTAAGAAGCTGTGTGGTAAAGAGCATGATGTATTCCTAATATGTGCTACACCACCACCACTAGAATTTAACCCCATGTTTTAGAGTTATAAGCCCTCAAGCTCACCACTGAGCTAACGGTAGATTCTACAGGTTCAAAACACCTTAGACGGTACTTAATTTGATAAAAACATTACATAAAATATAGTACAAAATTAAATAATTGTACGTTTTTCTTTGTCATTAAAGGCACACATATTTGTGTTCAAGAGAGATTATATTAACGAGTATATATATATATATATATATCTTGAGCAAAGCATAAAACTAATCATAAGACAAACAAATCAATTTAAAATGCTACATTACTAAGCTTAACTGACTTGGCACAAATTAAATACAGACATATGTTAGTCTTATGTAATGTACTATGATATTAAGAATAAGGAAGTAGTTATTACTGGTGATAAGTGTGACGAAACTTATGCAAACGATGTAAAAGGGAGCACTATTTGAATGTGATGAGTTGCATTACCTCTTTCTATCAACTGTTTTCAATAATAATTCTGTAGTCTTACGTTTTCAAGTTCGCATATAAAGGTCAGCACAAAATGAAAAAAGCTAGTCTTGCGAGGGAGGAAAGGTACCATATGGGAAGTCAATGTTAAAAACAGAAGCTGCCGAATGCTGGTGACAGACAAAGGGAAAGATGACCACTCAGACTTATAAAAGCTTAACTGATGTCACTTGCGTTCCAACTGATGGATTCCTTCAATAGTTCTCAAGACTTGTGTATCTTCAATTGTACTGTTTCAAGTAAAATACAAAAATCGTCACATAGCAGATAAAACCCCAAGAACTGCTTATTTAAGATTCAAAACACAAAAGCCAACTTCAGTGGTCCTTAGATCACAAACTGTGAACAGATAATGACCAGAAAAATAAGAGGTAGTTATAAGTAGTGCTTCACTCATTTGTGTATCGATAACAGAACAAAAGTCACGGAGAAAACCATAAGGCACTTCATCATAATTGTTTATAAACTTTTGGGGATAGGGTAATGGCATGGAGAATGTTATTGTGGTACATGTTGTATCCTTTGATTTCTTTAGAATAGTTTATATAGTCCAGAATGCATCTGAATGTTGTTGCTCACCATGATTACCTCACAATTCTGCACTTCCATTCTAAAGGGGGTGTCATTTAATGCAACAATTTTCCATTCTTATATTGCCAGATACTGGTTCAAACACATTGAAAGTGAATTTATCATCTTTCTTGGACAGCATAATCAAGGGATTATAATTTAGTTAAGTATCTTTAACGTTATGTTAAATTAGGTTTGGAACTGTAGCCCTCTGATGAGACTCGTGAACCATGGTCCTCAATAAGTGGGTTACAATTAAAAAAGATACCTTCCAAAACTTTATGGAGTTTATTATTATGGCAAAACGGGGTTAAACTCAATATTAAGTGGAAATCCTAATAAAGTGCAGTTAGTGTAAACAGACAGCCATGTAGCTGCAACTTGTATGTTTTGAACTTTTATTCATACTTTTACTCATTTTATATTATGCAAACACATTTTGTATGAATTATATCAAGATCTTCCCATCTATGATGTAAAATTACACGAGTTAAACAAGAATTACGACTGTAAAATGTAGAAATTGACAACTTTCCATTTTGTTTTGAATGCTATAAACATAAAAAATAAAACAGGTTTACATAGTAATAAATATTTTATGCATATATATATATATATTGTGTTGCAAGACTTGTACAAGCTCTTTCAAAACAAATAATCCCTCTGTAAAAGTTCTGTGTGCTAGACTTTAATTGTGTTGCTTGTTTTGCAAAAACAAAAAGAAACAAATTTACATTTAACCATTCTTTGAGAAAAACAAATTGACTTACTTGCTATTTAGAAACGTTTTATTTAGAATGGCTTACACAGAACTTCTGTACATGGAAGGAGGTTCAGAGCCAAACACCAAATATTTTTCTCAGAATCTTTTCCATTAATTCCATTAAATGTTTAAACTTACTTAATATAGTACAATATTCACAAATTGATATATTAGTAGTCATATTCATTTTTTGTAAAAGAGAAGAAACACTTGTAATGTATATAGCTCTTTAAAACTATAATGGTGATGGCAAAGTACATGTACAAATAAAACAACCAGAATTTTAATTACAAGTATTAATAACAACAACAAACCTCTGAAGTTTCTAAAAACACAATAAATATTAAGCCTGTTTTAAAGGCAATTTTGTTGGCAAAGAATTTGGCAAGAAACAGAGGAAAAGAGAACAAATAATTTTCAATGCTGTGTTGTAAGCTGGTTCAAGAAATCACTAAATGCACACATTGTTTTTAAATCTGAAGTTGTCATTTGCAACTTGATAACCTTTGTGCTTTCATAAACCAATACATAATTCTACTGTTCTAATATTTATAAGGGTTTTCAGCATGATTTTTCCAAACTAAAAAAAAAATAATTAAGAATTGCCCACATGACAGTGGCTTTTATATTCAACTAAGATCCTTTAAATGCAGAAAAACTGGCAAGTCTCTTTCTTCCAGAATAAAGATCAGTTCTTTGCAAGAAACAAACACGCCCAGCACTAATCACAGTACAACCACCAATCTTTTTCATAGCCTTCATGTACATGCTCCAAGAGCAACTTTCTTCTAATTTCACAATACCTGTAAAAAACAACACAAATTTGAATTAAAGGCATCAGCTCCAAAAATGAAAGAAACAAATATATGCAGTAGTCTGATCCTTCTTGGCAACACCTGCTTTTGCAGCAACAATTAATATCTCATAAAAGTGAGCTTAGTAGAAGTATTGATGATTTTCAATAGAGTAAGATATTCTAGATTATTTTCTTGACAATTCTGCATAAGAATAATTACTGATAGACACAAAAACAGCCCAATTACATGGAAATAACCAAGCATTTTACAGCTGGATATTATAATTAAGCAATATTTGTTCTGATATGTCATAAAATCCCAATAAAGATAAAAAACTAGTAATACTACAAATAATTGAACACTGTATTGGAATTCAAAGCATTTTCAATCTTATGTAGCATTACAAATCTATCCACTAATTAATAAGTTTCTAAACAAAATTATAGTAAAACTCTTTGTTTACCTATACTTATCTTGGACTTTCTGTTTGATATCAAGCAGGTTTTCCTGAGTTATATCTCTCTCCAAATATTCGGACAGTTTTTCTGTGGCACTCTCTAAGTCTCTCTGGTTATTCTGATTAGATGGGGAAGTAAATCAATAATATGGATTTCTATAAAATTTAACAGTTGAACTTAAAACCACAAAAGCCAGACAATGTAGTCTTGAGAGAACAGAGATATCACACAATCTAAATTAAGCTGCAATCTTTATATTTTCTTGAAGAAGAATTAATCTTTAATTGCAAATAATGGAGCTTGGAGAACAGTGACACCAGGAAAACTAGTACTTTTTTTATGGCTTAATTATCAAAATCACTGAATTGAATTTTTCCAACACCTAGAATTATCATCATATCTGAAATTATTTATATCATATGCTGCTTAAAAATGTGACTTCCTTTATTGTTTGTTTGTTTCATATGTTTGCACAAAGCTATCCAAGATATATGTGAACCAGCTGTCTCTAATTTTGACATGACAGGTTGCAGGGAAAACAGCTAGTCAACAGCAACCACCTCCAGCTCTTCAGCCCCTCGTATCTGAGCAGATAGTTAGATTTGAGCGTCATTCTTATAATGCATACATAGTCTCAAAGTGAAGAATGAATTATGTATGGCAACAGGATGAAAACCATAAACCCTCAAATCCACAGACCGTCATGCTAATCACTTAGCCATGCTTTGTCCAGGTTTCATTTTAAAATAATGTTACTAGTCCTTAATTAGACCTTTTCTAAACTATCATTACATCAAATTTTGTCTTTAATATTCAATGAAACAAGAACTGTGAACTACAGCAATCAAAAGATGCAATAATTTCACTGATTATAACGTTTATCCTGAATGTAGTCACTGATTCAAATTCCAAGTGCAAAACTTTTATTCAAAAACTAGTAAAATGCAAGTTTTTTGTTCACTATTGGATTTTGTTACATACATGAAAATCATGTGACCCTTAAAAGAATATTAGACAATAAAGAAGTAAGCTGATCTTTACCTCGAATATAACTGACTGGTTGTTTTTCTTAAGGTAGTATGCAAAGACGTACGTATACATAAGTGTTTGCCGACACTGACATAAGATGTCTACAGCTTTCTTCAGAAACTGAACTTCAATCCAGGACATGTTGTGTTGCTGCATTTCTTCCATCTTTTCTTTAACAGATGCATAAAGCTGGAGAAAATAAAATTAAATAAAGTCAGTGCAGTGCAAATTCAGCTTAATTATTTCCCATCAGGCATAATTCAATTAGAATGTTATAAATGAATATGTTCACTTGCTGTCAGTACAAAAATCATACAGTGTGCAGTATATATAGTAACGAAAAAAGGAGTAAAATAATTTCTATTTCCATCAATATAAAGTTCTTGGCTGATTTGTTCAAAATACAACAAATGGAAGATTATACATTAATGCTCATATTCCAAAAGCTACAACATCCCCAAAGGAAAACATGATTAAAAAAAAAAGTGGCAACACTTCGACACAAACAAGTAAGAGATTGTAAGTATGCACAATATGGACTACTTAAGGTTCATCAGGTTGAGGTTCTCGAAGGCCTATTTTAAGGTAGTAGATTCTCTTTGTCATCAAGTGCCTCATCATATTGTTCCTACACATATCCAAAATCACTATTAAAGAAAATAAAAACATGTTTAGACAAATGAAGGACCTTTTTATGAATTTTCAATTTGTTAACATTTACCAACCATCCCAGTGCCTGATACTGAACCAGTGATCCAACAAGCAGATTACAGTTTGAACCTTGAAGTAATTTCACAGTAGAGAGAACTTTAAATCAAGAACTGCTTATATGATCAGATAACCAGCAGTTTTTTCACATTTACATTCAGATCATAAAACAATTTCTTAAGAGTGCATAAGTAAGGCTAAGAAATTGAAAATAATATGTTGATGCTTTCATCATCATTAGTCAAATAAGTGCAAAACCATTAATGATATTCTCCTGAATAACTTTGAAATTCACAATGTAGATATAAGAAGTTTGTTAAGTATAGCTCCTGTTGTCCCATGGAAGTTTACATGAAACATACAATAACTGGTAGTGAAACTGCAGATCCGGTCATTCATATTTGGTCAATTGTTTTAATAACTATACCAAAGAGTTGAAAAATTATGTGATAACATTTAAATGTGACTTTCCAAACTATAAGTTAATCAACAGTCACTAGAAACAAACTAACAGTCATCCATCACTCAAATACGAATATATTCAATATGTTGACCTGTCAGATATTAATAAGACTAAATGAAGAATACTTGTTATCAATTACTAGAAACTTACATAACAACGAGATCAGATTAAAATGATACTAAAACTAATTTTTCAAGGTCTCAGATATTAAGACATTAAACATAACTGCTAACTATAAGCATAAAACTAATTTCCTGTTATCAAAGTTTAACTATGTATGTAACAAACTGTACAGTTCATACAAAACAATGATTTGCAGGGAGTAGATACTCAAATGTAATGCTAGAAGTTCAGCCCAATAACTTAGTAATCAATTTATACATAATTGGGCTCTAACACAGATGCTTTATTCCCCATAGTTAACTGGTAGTACCACTTATTTTTAAAAGCCTTCCTGGTCCAGAAGAATGTCAGTGATATTCCTTTACTTTTTTCCTTCTCATAGCAGAAATATTTAACCACATTGTATGAAACTTGATTCAGTGTTACTCTTATTTTTTCTCATACAATTTACAAAATTTTGTTTCAAGACAATTTTGAAAAACAAAATGTTCAAAATATGTCCTTTTCTCTTAAAATTTAAATTTTTTTTGTAAATTTTGATCACAAAGAACAACTTTTATCAGGCTTTCTACCAGAATCCTACAAAAAAGTAGGGATTTTTCAGTGCAAAAAATTACATAAAAAGTCATAAATCTCAAGCAGATTCTTTCATATTTTTCAGTCTGAAATATAATTCCTGCATAAACTTATATATATATATACAGAATTAAAAGACAGCAAAAATAGGCTTTCCCTTGAAATTTTTTCAATAGTGATAACAGATGAAAATTCATAAAAATGTGATCACATTTTCATTACTTACCTACACAATTTTACAGGTGTTCCTTACTACCTGTAAATTGTGTGCTGACCATACATGATTTTTTTCCAAAGCTCACCAATTTCTTAGTTCTAGTCTCTGAAGTTTAACATTGGTCAAGTTTAACAGTCAGTATTATTCCAGTACAAGTATCAAATCTGGTACACATCTGATGACTATTCATCCATCAATTGATCAACTTCCTGCTAAGAAAACTCCAGCAATAACAAGTTATACACTAACTACAAACACAATAAATTTTGTATACAAGAAATTATAAACATTAAGGATACAGCTTGAGATTTATGACCAATTTTGAATTCATGACATAGAACAAAGAGAAAAAGTAGGGATTTGAGAAAAGAAAAGGTAGAACATAGGAAAAATAAGGATTATAGAAAGCCTGTTTTACATATCCAATCAGTTTCAACATATTTAACATATTTCTTTTGATATTTTATTTTGTTACTTGCAGTAGTCACCATTTTCAGCCATAAATCGTAACAAACACTGCAGAAGATGACAAACATTTATCAGTGACTATGATCTGATCTTTTAAAATGGCATCAGGTCAGACTAGGTAACAATATTTGTGCTAACAATATTCTTGGTCAAGTTCAATTTATATCTAATAAATACAGTTTCTTTTAAATAAGTTCTTTTATTTATGAGCATTGTTTGAATACAATGAATATGATAAATGTAACAGCAATATATAATAAATAAGAACTTAAGTTGTCAGAATATTTTGCCTTTGCCTACCATAATATCTAAACTTAACTATGACTACTGATGTCTTGACACAGATGAAAATTTTCATAACTTTTAAACAAATATAACCAGAAACATTTTCATGAACTAAAAAAAATTTCTAAATAAACATAAATTCTCAAAACTATGGTTTGTTTCTAGGTCCTCTAAACTTTCCACTACATTCTGTTTTTCTGTTCTTTACAAAGCAAGTCTTGTCACTTTCTCCTCAAACTACAAATTACTTTTCACACCAATTTACTAAGTCTATACTGAAAGAAATAGTTTATAATATGCTATATCCAATGATATTTAAACTTTGGCTGTAGCTATTTTAAAAGCTAAGCTTTATTAGTTGCTGCTGTTGGACCACTTGTTTTGTGATTGTAAAACAATGAGAAACAAAACATGCATAATTATATTCTCAAGGTATGATGCTTTCCTAGCAAATATAAACTATGCTTTAGGATGGGCAGAAAGATTCTAAAACAAATAACCAGGTGTTTGTTTATAGGTGAGACTTCTCTGAGAAGTGCAGAAATGTATGTTTCAGTAGTTTCTTTTTTAATAGTGCATTACTAAATATATTTTACAAAATGACAAAATATCAATTCTAAAATATTTGAGTTAAAAAGTTATTGAAATAAGTGTGACAATTATTATTTTACTTAAATCTGAAATTTTCACAGTAGGCAGATTCTTATTTTAATAATTACAACATTTTGACCCTTAGTATTGAGCCATCATCAGGTAAGAATTAAATGATGATCACTTGATACTATGCACCGAAATGTTGTAATTAATAAAATAAGAATCTGCCTCCTGTAAAAGTTTCTGTTATTGTAATTTTGAATTAATGAATCAGTTCAGTAGGTTCCTTACTAAATACTAAATATTTATTCATTCTTTTGCAATAGGCCTGCAGTATTCTGATTTATGCTTACCAGTAGTCATTTGCAAATGGTCCAATTACTTAATGTTTGCTTTATACTACCACAAGTTGCATAATGCAAAATTGTGCACATATTGCACAAAATATTTCTGTCTGTATGCACAGATTGGTATACTATGCATACAATGTAGTTTTTTTTGTGTCTTTCCACTTCTTCACAAGGTTTTGAACTCTAGCAAGGTTTCCTGAAATGAAAGATTTTTCAACAATTATGAAATCGGAGCGTTAGATGTAGGTGCCAATTTAATGACAATACCAATGACATACTCATAGAAGGAGCAGCACCGTGCCACAACTTTCAACAAATGAAGTTCTCACTTTAAGGAATCCTGCTAACTACTTATCATGGACTATGCTAATGTTTATCCAGAATTTTTGGAACTTGTTTCAATTGCTATAGCCACTTCAATTACAAGACTTCAAGTATGACCAGGCCATTAAAAATCTACACAAACAAGAAATACTGCCACAAATTTTAACAAGCTTTCATGTCCTGAACTTAATATATTTAAAAAAATAAGGTATGTGCACACTATTTTGTACATCTTTCTCTGAAAATGTTTAATCACTGTGTACGTATGATCATTTAGCATCTACACAATTTTTGGTTACTCGTGCATTCACAGTAAGCATTTTTTGAAACCCTAAAACAACCTCTGTGTCATCTATTATCTTTCGATAAATTAAAACTAGTATTCACAGTTTTCACAATAGTGCAGGCAATTAACATCCTTCAATCAGCAGAAAACTACTACATTCCTAGCAACAAGACTTTTTTACACACACATATACTGATATATCTAGGTACTTATATTACATATAAATTGTCTAACAGCATTCAATACTGTGAAAACGTTTCTGCAATTTTGTTTCTTATCATTTTTTTACAAATATGATCCCCTACTATAATGCTGAAGTGACAAAACACTTACTTATGCACTAAACATTATCATTAGTGAAAATAAGTTTTGGTTAATTATATATCAAATCATAACAAAAGTAAAAATAATATATATAAGATAGCCCTCTCAAAAAAAATCATACCTCTATTGTTTCACATGCACATAAGAGCAACTAATATAGACAGGTTTGCAGATCTGACACACATTCCATAGTTTGTGGCTTCAAAGAACTGACAGCAAAATCAGAACATGTGACAAGCAAACCAAATCAATCATTTTGTTTATTCTGAAGGTTTCAGGTCTTTTTATTTTTCCATAACTAGTCTCTTAAACTCTTATTCTGTAAGTTTAAGTGTGTATGCTCATGTGATGCAAAAATATTAAAATTTTTTCTTACTGAAAATGTATTTCTTATAGATACCTCTTCACACAGTTATCGTCTCTACTCATCTGCCTTAGATATTTGCATGTCACTAGCTTTTAGTGAACTTCCATCTAATCTCAAGAGGTTTCTTGTGAACTATATTGTATAATGATATCATTATGCAGCAAAAGTCTTCCAACAAAAGGAGGGCAACACTTTCTAGCACTTTAACTTCCTCTATGCATTTGCACTCATAAATCTTCATTCTTGGATAATGAATAAAAAGGTGCACCAGAAGTGGAGAGGATGGGTGGGAGAGTGTGTGTAGAGGTGGGTATTGGAAATAAATTTTCAAGTAAGTAAAGTGTTAACTTCTGAGATGATACCACACAGTTAAAAAAGAATCCCACATTGGAGAGGTGGAGGGGCTGGTGCAAAGATTTACCAAGATGAGCTCCCTTCAGAAAATTACTGAAGGAAGCCTATGGAGTGTGACACCCAATGACAGGGGCTCCATAAGGACATAACTGTGGGAGACCAAATCTAATCTTTTCCAGGAATAAGGGAGGAAGAGGTAAATGAACCACATATGTTGCAGGGATGGGCAGAATAAGAAAATGGCTATCCAAGTACTTGCCCACAGGAGATGGGAGAACCAATATGTGTAGTGTGGTTGGGGCACATTCAGACTGTACGTTGTGCTCACCTTAACTATTTCGTCAGACTTTATTGGACTGACACCAATTGCAGGAGGAGGACACAGTTTCAGCCATAGAGAGTAGTATGATATATGCATACCTGAACTCAACTAAACAGACATCAGCTGCAGGAGGAGGGTACAGCACCTCAATTGGTCACCTCAATCCAACTGTACAGACTCAGACCTCAGGAGGAAGGTACAAATGGCATGTGGTATAGCTATATGAAAGGTAACCTGTGCTACATTGACAGTGTCATTACTGCCCCACTTCCCACCATATTTGTACCCCTTTTTCTAGCCCCAGTGGTTAGGTACCAATCAGTGTGGCTTCTCCATGGTCTACCATCCCAGTAGTTAGGAACTGGAAAATGTCAAGAGTATCCCATGCTCCACTCAAAGAGAAAACAAGGGGGATTCATGATGGGGAAGATCTGGAGAAAAGGCCTAGATTCCATTGATTCTTCAGTCAGAAAGGTCTTTTATTGGAGACAGTGCAACAGGTGACTGCATAACCATATTTTAAAAAACCAGTAAGCACAAGCCAGGGAAGTGGACAGAACACTCCCTGGTGCTGGCTTTCTCAATGGTAGTCCATGGAATAGGTAGTCTGGATCAGATCATTGTCAGATGTATAAATTTACAAGGATACATCTTACAGTGGGCACATGTGAAGCCAGGACGGATGGTATCAGCACTTTGCTGTAAAGAGGGAAAAAAAGAGAATGGTGCTCATCTGTCTAGAAATGGTAGGGTAGACTAGAATTGTGAACAAAGACAGGAATAGTAGTACCACGTGCCCACTCCAGCAGTCATCAGAAGTGAGCAGTGAGGGAATGAGCAAGGTGACAAATCTGATGGGATTAAATGTGGAACAGACTGTAAACATCAATCTCTAATGAGGAGTAGACTAAACTCAGAAGTTGCTGGACCCAACCTGTAAGAGTAGAAGGAGAAATTTCTCTGGAAGAAGAGAAATCCTATGAAAAAAAAGAGTCAGAAAATGGAAAGTACCAGATAAATAGCAATAAATGGTCTGAATAGGGCAAAATAGTCTATTTGAGTTTGTTTGATCGTAGAGATGAAAGTTGGAAGGAAGAGAAATAGGAGAAAAAGACTGGGAAAGAAAGACTGGTCACGATAAACTAGAATATAAGAGCAATGGTAGATGGTACGGTAGAAGAATCAATAGCATAGATATCTAAACAACAGTGACCAAAGCTGAGAATTAAGAGGAAATGGGACTTGAGAGAAAGTTGCCAATAGTAAAAAGGTTTGTGCGTATGAGTGAACAGAACAACACTGAAGTCCCAGTAAGGCATGAGAGTGGGATGATGAGACAGGGGAAGGAAGGATCAAAACATGGTGAAGAAAACTGGTAAGGAAAATGCACTGAGGCATCAAAAAAGGTAACGTGTACAAGGCTGCATGATAACCAGCAATGGTGGAGACAGCTATATAATAGTCAAACAGCCAGACAAAAAAAGAGGAGAGATGACCAACTATAGGACAATCAGGAGAAAAGAGTCAACAAATGT